CCGCCCCCGGCGCCCCTGCCATTACTTCTTCATTAGACACTCGCAGGGACAGGGAGGCGGGGACGTCTGCGCGCAGCGGAGCGCGAAGAGGGGAAGGCAGGCGAGCTGCTGCCACGTGAAGGGGCGCAGAAACTGCCAGAAAGGTGGACGGGGGCACAGGGACTCCGCAGTAAGGGCCGGAGGGGGCAGCCGGGGGCCGCAGGGTCGCCAAAGCAGTCAGACCCGGCTGGGCTGGTTCCCTTGGAAGAACCAGCACCAACTTGGCTTGGACGATGGGACGCGGTCCTCCGCCGCAGTCGCCCGCTGGGACAAGTCCCGTGGGGCCTGGCGCCGCTGCCTCCAGAGAGAAGCCGGGGGCGGGAGAAGGTCGCGGGGGGCTGCGCGCGGCCACTGCGGAGCTGTCGCCGTCCTCGGGCACCTTTCCCTCCGTGGCCTGTGAGAAGCACCCCTGGGTGCCCCACGATTCCATCTCTCCTCCTTTCGTTCCCCAGGAGAGCGACACAAAGCCGGCGAACGAAAGTTTCTCTCTTTTGAGTCCCCTATCCCTTCCATGCCAGCCCGTGGCTTCTAAAGTGTGGACTCGGCCCTGAGACCGACATGCGTTGGCAACCGCAAGGTGACTGCGTTTTTTACGTAGTCTGGGGAACAAAGTCGCGTCTCCCTTGCCCTGGGCATTCACGTAGAGTACTGTCCCCTATCTCCCTGTTCCCCTGCCAGAGAGAACTCGCCCGTAAGGGGCTGTGAGTGACGGGACGAGAGAAGGGGAAAGGGACCAAGCTCAGCTGCTGCCAGCAGACCCGCCTCTCCTAGGGTAGTGGCCCCTCCCCGGGCAGTGCCCTCTGGTCTGTCGCCCTCCCGGAGAGCCCAACCCCAATATGCGCGTGCATGAGAGTTAGTGAGAGCTGCCCCGTGCACAGGTCCCTAAGCCACTTGGTTCCTCCAGTTTCGAGGCAGGGGTGCGCGACCTGATGGAGAGGGGGGGAAGGCGAAGCGCCCATACTCACAGTCTCTCGGTGTTGCGAGGGATATTCCTGGGCACGCTGCGCAGCGACAGCCCGTGACAGTCCACCGTGCTGCCCGAGCAGGAGCACTGCGCCGGGCACGCCTGCGGCTCCACCTCGTTCAGGATCGCCAGCACTAACCCCAGCGACAGGGACAGCATCTGCCAGCCAGCGCCGCGCATCTTCCCCCGCCGCTTTCTCGCTCGCCGGCGCCGGGTATTTTTTCTTTAGCTTGTTGCTTCGAAGGAACCGTTCAGTGTCTGAGGCCCAGTGCCGGGTAGGGGCTAGCTGCCCAGAGTGCCCGGGAAAATGTGCACAAAATACTATGGAACAGCAATAATCAAGGCAGTAGAGCCGACGACACAGGCACACACCTCCCACCTCCCTGTCCACCCTCCTCTAGCAAGGCAGGATCTCCTTGGGCAACTTCAGGTCCTGAAGATCAACCGGCCTGACCAAGGCTGCAAAGAGACTTCTGAGGGCAGCGAGGAGATCGTGCGTCTTCTGTCTCCCCAGGATTAACTTGGCGGTAAAAGAGCTGGGACTCCCAGCCACCGCAACGATGCAGGGGCCGGTTTCTCGGGGGTGGGGGTGGAGGTACCCTGATCCCACGCACCCTTCTGCAAATCCGATTCCAGTGAGGAGGGTATGAGGCAGAAGAGAGGAACTCAATAGGAATGGTGGCCCCGATCAAAGTGGACTCTCCAAAGCTAGAAGGCGCGGGAGCCCCGCGGGCCGGGATCAGAGTGAGCTGGGCAACTGGACATGGCGTGCAGGGACGCACGAGGCGGACGCGCTGCCCGGGGGCGGGGAGGGGGGGCGCGGGGCGACGCTGCGGGAAGCCGGGTCGGCTCACTCACGCGGCCTCTCCCCAGCCCGCGGCTCCGCCGCAGCCTGGACCGGTCCTCGTGGTCTCCCACCAGCCGAAGATGGTTTGCAAACACACATGCACTTGGCTGAAGGATGTCTCAGCAATCCCGCCTCCCGCCGGCGTCCTTGGCGACGCTCTGCACCAGGGCCTGCCCCGAGGTCACGCAGAAAAGACAAAAGGGCAGTTGAACCAGCAGCCGGGCAAGAATATCCACTAGTCAGCACCCCAACAGAGGAAATCCAAGAGGCCAAGTTGAGGACGAGAGCTCCAGCGGAGACTGAGTGAGCTGGTTGGAGCAGGACTTGCAGGCACGCCGGAAGGAGTGGAAAGAAAGGCCACGGTGGAGGTGTCCGCGACCCGGGTCCTGCTGAGGCGTCCCGGGGGTGGCTAGGTGGCAGGCGGACGGGTGGGATGCACAACTCCGGGTAGAGCCCAGGCGGCAGCTGAATGGCAGTCGTGTGTGCGCGCGCGTGTCCTCCCTTCTCGTCTCCCGGATACGCCGCAGCTCCGCGGCAGACACCTGATGGCAAAGGTGGAAGAAACCAGAGCTGGCTCCTGGCGGGCGCAGCCTCTCGGCCACCCCTCGGCAGCCTCCCCCAAGTGGGTCTTCCTTGTCAAAGTGCAAGAACTTTTCCCAGGCTTTGAATCCCGTCCCCTCCAGCCACGGTGGGAGTTCTCCAGCCCACGTCGCGACGCCGCCCGGCTCCTGGCGCTGCACCTGACTCGGGGGCCGCAGTCCCGGGCAGCCCGTCTCCGTCCGGCCCCTTCCCCTCTCCCGGCTGCTGTCGTGCCTCCTGCTCCAGGAAGAGAGGTAGGGGAGAGGGAAGGCGACGACGGAGAGCGGGGACTCGGGGGCTCCGCAGGATCCGGAGCCCCTGGCAAGTGTCTAAACAATAGGACGGACGCAGCAGCTGAAGTCTCGCTCGGCTGCAGGAAGGTGGGTGCTGGTTGTAACTGGAGTTGTCCGCTCCGGCTGCCTGGCGCTGAGCACAGCCGAACAAAAACCCGGCCCGCGCCTCTGGAGCGGGCTGCGGGCCCCCGGACGCCCCCCTGGCTCCTCAGCACTCCCGCTGTGCCCGGAAAGCTCGGCAGCTCCGGCCTGCGCCCGGGAGCCTCGGCGCTCCCATCACTCGCCTCCGCCGCCGCCCCCTTTCTTTAAACACCGTCCGCGGC